AGCTCAGGACGCAGCCACCGCCCAGGCGCCCGGGGCGCTCTGCGCTCTGTGCTCTGGAACTGGCTCTGACCTAGCTCTTCTCTCACCGAAAAAAACAGATTTTTCCCACTGACCTTCCAAGTTGTCTTTGGCATTCGTGGATTGAGGAGTCTGGAAACCACCACAGCTGCCTGTAATTCGTTCCTGTAAGGCCTGTTCCAGGTTCGCTGCGGCCTGTGCACCCACGCCTAACCGAACTCCTCTCCCCACACCCGGCAAGATGTACCTTTCCAATCAACCGTCCAGGATGTCTTGGGCTGGAAATTTGTTTTCCTCTGTCTTTTTGTGGGTTCTGCTGCTTTAGAATTTGTTTAGAGGCGTATTTGGAGGGGTTTGGGGGAGAGCTCAAGTAAGTCACTGCTTTCACTCCGCCATCTTGGCTCCGCCTGGTTCATTATTTCTTGATGTCTCATGGAGCCAATTCTAATTTTTAAAAAGTTATTTTCATCAGTATAGTTTTGCATCTCTTCTTCCATACTTTTCTCTTTTCATATCTTCCCTAGATCTTTTCCTTTCCTTTCTTTCTTTCCTTTTCTATTGCCCTCATTTGGTTTTTAAGATAATTTTTTTAGCTCCTTCTTTAGCTTTAACTGTTCTAAGAATTCTTGTTGGACTTATGTCCAAGCTGCATTTATCTTTGAGGCTTTGCTTGTAGATTTTTTTGAGTCATTCTCTTCTGTATTTGTGTGTTGAGCTTCCCTGTTGCCATGCTAACTTTTTGTGTTGTTTTTTTTTTGGTTCATTTTTGGGGTCTACTTGTTGACTTTGGATTTTATGTTAGTCCCAGGTTCTGCACACTTCTAGGGGAGTAGGGTGGGGATGGGGAATGCCTGGTTTGAGTTTCTGATCTCTTATATTTTTCTGCTGCTTTCACAGTTCCGGCTGAGGGCATTTAAGCTTTCATTACCCCTAAAGTTGTGTGATCTGGGTGAGGTCTGTTCAGTACCCTTTTGGTCTGAGTTCTGCAAGTTCCTGCCCCAGGTTTGGGTGTATCAGTTTGTTTCTAGTTAGTTTTGGCACATTGCTTCTTTACGAAGCTCTGCAAGTTCAAATCCACTGAACTGCTGGTTCCCCTTTGTCTGGAATGCTGTGCTCTGCTCCTGGGATGAGAGCCACACAGTTGCCATTTGTTTCCTGAAACTTGTTCAGTGTTCACTACATCGCTGGGGCTGATGCTCAAGATGCTCTCCTACTTGAATCTCTGATCCAGCTCTGCGTGGTGGACGACACAGCTACCAAATGGCACTCAGTCCTAAATTTTCTCAAAGATCTCTTTCCTCTATTCTGTCTCATTTGGTTGGCCCTAGAATGGTCCTATCAGTCCCTGTCTCCTGAAAACTTCTCTGCCTGACTCCCTAAGCTCTGGGCTGGAAAAGGACTTACTGTGACTTCGTCTTGGCTTTCTCAATCAGAATTCAGTCTGGTGCATTCTCTAGATCTTTGTAGAGAAGGTATGGAGGGAGAACTAGACTCTAAGACTTCCCCTCTGCCATCTTGACTCTGCCCCCCTCAATTTTGTGTGTGTGAAATGAGGCAAGTTTCACAGGTAAAGGGACAAGAGGAGTGGGTTTTGTGGGAAGCTTGAATGGCTATTGTGAATGGGACAGAGAATCAATTAGGAAGGATGAGGAGTGTTTGGCAGCTAAGTAGTCCAGACAGTGGTTAGAGTGCTGGATGTGGGATCAGTAAGACCTGATTTCAAACCCTGTCTCAAACTGATCCCAGGAAAATTACTTCTATTGACCACTGTTTCCTCATCTGTTAAATGGAGGTAATAACAGCATCTATCTTCCAGGGTTATTGTGAGAAAAAAAGATTGAGATATTTGTAAACTGCCTTGCTAGCGATGAGTTGTTACAGTTGTTACAGTGAGGGCTTGGTTGAGACTTGAGTAGCAAATATTTGTAGTGGTCCTAGTCAACATGGTTTCATGATTTCTTTTAGCTTTGTTTAGCAACACATGAATAGGAGTGAAGGAAGCAAATGTGATCAGAACCTCACATCCTTTAAGTTCAACAACATTAAGTACATACTACATGCTAGGTACTAGGAATGTGAAGAGAAGACAAAAGATCCTTGCCTTGAAGAATCTTACATTCTGCTAGAGATGCAGTGTGTAAACATAACACCAATCCAACATAATTTCAAGATACAGAGAGTACTAACAATTAGAGGCAATTAGGAAAGGCATCTCAAAGGAAGTGACACTGAATTGATCCATGAAAGAGGTGAGAAATTCAGAGGAGGGAGTGCCTTCCAGCTATGGGAGACACTTCATTGTTTTCTAGTTGGCCTCAACCAATCAACAAGCCTTGTTGGGGAGAGGTGGGAGGAAAGAATGCAAATCTTTGAACAAAAAAAAAATATACACACATACATATATATATGTATTATATATAATTTTAAAGTAATTTAATTTTATGTTTTTATTTTGAACTAGAAATTATCAGCATTATTATGAACTAGAAATTATCAGCAAACATGAAAATTTTGATATGCAAAGAAGGCCAGGAAAAGAGAATTGTATGTGAAACAATGACTCTAATACAAGACAGCTTGTTCTTTAAAATATATATGCATACATATATTATATATAAAATGTAATATGGTAGCACCAACAAGTTCTAGCTATTATTATTTCCAGTTCTTTGCTATAACAAAGAGTTGCTATTAACATTCTTATACATATGAATCCCTTGCCTGTTTTTGTCACGTGGGAGGCACTGGCACAGGACCTCTTGCTCACATCAGAGAAGGTTCTGTGCTCTATGAGCAAAGCAGAATTGAAGTAGCTCAAAAGAAACAAAAGATGCGCAGATTTAGAGAAGCCACCCCAAATGTTCACACAGATTATTTGTGCCTGAGCTATGGTAGAATATTTCCGAGCTTGAATTGGACCGATCAGCCCCCGTCAGACACACTGAAACTCGTCTCTAGCATAGTGATGTCATTTTGGTCTTCTTTGAGAATGAAGGACAACCACCACCCAACTTTGGGTAGAAGCCTACACAATTTAATCACTTTTGAAGCAGAGTTATAAAATGCTTTCCGGAATGCTTGAGCCAATTCATAGCTCTTCTAATAGTATATCAGTATTCCTGTTTTTCCCCTAGTCCCTCTAACAATGATCATTTTCCATTTTTATCATCTTTGCCAATCTAATAGATATGAGGTAGAACGTAAGTGTTTTTAAAATTTGAATTTTTCTAATTTGTAGCATTCTAAAAATATAGTTGTTGGTAGCTTGGATGTCTTCCTTAGGAAACTGTTTATATCCTATTAGGGAATGCCTGTTGTTCTTATATATTTGAATCAGTACCATACATATCTTGGATATAAAATCTTATCAAATAAATTTGCTGCAAAGATTTTTTTTCCCCAGTTAGCTATTTGCTTTGTGTTAAAATTTGTGTTCATCCCTGTCCTTTGTTTAGTCAAGAATTCTTCCCTCATCCATTGTTGTGAGGTTATCTCCTTGCATTTCCCTCTAGTTTGTTTCACCTATCTTTTATATATAGATCTTATTTCCATTTGGAGCTTATTATGGTATATGTTGTAAGATGCTGATCTAAGCCTAATTTTTCTGAAACTGCTTTCCAATTTTCCCATTAGTTTTTGTTAAATAATGAGTCCTTACCCAAATAGGTGTCTGGGTGGTTCAGTGGACAGAGTGCTGGATGGACCTGGAGTCAGGAAGACCACAGTTTGAATGTTACTTCAGCCACTCACTAGCTATGTGACCCTGGGCAAGTTACATAACCTTTCTCAGACTGTTTCCTCATCTGTAAAATGGAGATAATTGCACCTACCTCATAGAATTGTTCTGAGGATAAAATGAGATATTTGTGAAGTACTTTGCAAACCTTAAAGTGCCATATAAATGATAGGTATTATTAGTGAACACTTTGCACTGTATTCAGTTGCTTCATTTGTTAATAAGCAGGTTTTTTCATTCGTTTAGTTACTGTACTAAAATAGTATGTGCCCTCTAGTAACTAAAGTACCAACTGAAGGGTTAGTATCTTAGTGTCACTTCAGTGAAGTACTCATATGATGTTTTGTCGTTAACTTGTGTTTCATAATAGGCCACTGGTATGGAGTCACTCAGACCTTCCTCTCAACAATAGAAATATTCTTTAGCTCAGGATTGGCTCAGGTTTCTCAAAATGAAAGGAGGCAGAGAAACAGGCAGGGAACTTTTCCCTTTATAGGAAGGTGAATCCTGGTGATGTTAAATCTGGAATAGCCAGAGCAGTAACATTAACTAGCAAAGAGAGCACATGGACAGTGCTGGGTAGAATATCTGAGGACAGGGGTAGCATGTCCCCCAACCCAAGGAACTGGCCACATCTACCAGCCCTAAGATAAAATTTAAGTGCAAGAAAAGACATTCACTGACACACACACACACACACACACACACACACATTTAGCCTCTGTAACAGTCATTTTATTGAAATGCAGCAACAGAAAATACCTTTCTTTGGAAAGTTCTCTTCTTTATCTCAGTTTCTCCTTAAGATCAGGATTGCAAGTGATAACAGTCACAAGAGTGGAAAGCTACTCTTTAGAAATGCTTGTTCTCCATCCACACTGGCACATTCACATCAGCCGGTGTTGAGCTGTGGTCTCCTGGACCAAAGCTCTTTCAGGTGTTTTGTAAACCTGTGCCCACACCCTAGATTAATCAAGTGGGACTCCTTGCTTCTCTAAGTAATAGGCAAATCCCACCTACCTGCCAGCACAACCTTTGGGGGAGCAGGTTGTATATTCCTAGCTCCTTTCAAGGAAGACAAGCCTACCAGTGCTAGATTCCCAGAGACTTCCTAAGGAGCTTATCTAGGGAAGTGGGAGGGAAGAGGAGAGAGGTTGAAAGAGAATAGGGAAGGGTGCAATGAGCTCCCACTCTCTCCAAGATATTCCAAATATGAGAGGTGCCAGGCAATATAAGGTGATAGGGTCTAGGGCACAGTTCGACGGGGCAGACTTGTCTTATAGAGAGATTTGCCTGTGGCCTCAATATAAGTGATGCTCATGTCCTTGGAGGTGATCTCCACATAGGCGAAGCCACCGAGGGAATCTCGAGCCCCATAGTAAAAACGCAGATAACCATCAGGGACCTTACGTTGGTGTTTCTTGGAGGGGTCCATGAAGTTTCCTGCCCCACTCAACACATAACCCACGCCGTCCTTGTCCTTGAGGTACTGAAGAAGAGGACATGTATTAGTAGAACAGCCAGGCAAATAAGTTTCCATCCCCAAACCCCAAACTTTTCATTTTTTCTGTCTAGGCTCAGAATCCCAGAGGCCCTGCTATTGGCCTTTCTGTAGAGCTAAGACATATTTATGTTCCTGATTAGGGCTTAGGCTGAAACAAATCGCTTTCCATTCCCCAAATCCACAATGACTGACCATAGCAGGAGACCCAGAAGCATGGAGCTAGGTGACTGGTTGCTAGCCTGAAAATACAATTTTCTACAAGTTAGCCACAAAGGCCCATTTGCAGGTAATCCCAATAGTTAGTATGATTCATGGTTCCAAAGTGCATTAGATCCATTACGTTATTTGATCCTAGCCACCCTGTGTGAGGTAGGGGATGCGTGTTATTATTTTGTCTCCTTTTTACAAGTGAAGAGACAGGCTTAAAAAGGGGAATTATATAAGGAATAAAATGCTGCTTGTAGTCACATAGACAGTAAGTGGTAGACTGATAGTTTGAGGCTAGGCTTTCGGATTCCAAGTCTAGTGTTCTTGATCCCCCTCTAGTTGAAAGGTGGCTGAGTCATTTCCCTGGGATTCTTTCTCACCCTCAGCTTCACGTACTTCCCCTGCTCTCCTCACCTGCAGGTTGTGGTCATGGCCACATAGGTAAGCTGTGACTTTGTGCTTGACCAGCAGAGGCTGTAAGTGCTTTACAAGGCAATGGGTAGGTCCATGCTCTGCTATTGACCACACAGGGTAGTGGCCAGCTACCAGCAGGTAGTCCTCTTTGGCATTGGTTAGCTGTTTCTTTAGCCAGGACAGCTGGCTTCGTGCCAGCTTCAAATCCTTAGGTCTCTCAGGCTGTTGGCTCAGGAAATCATCTGAATTTCCACACAGTGTCACAGTGTCCAGCATAAAAATGGCCACGCTTACATTAGTTTTGGGGATTTTGAATCTGAGGCGGTAATAAGGGCTGGGGAAATTCCTGTAAAAGAGAAGTAATTCTCAGATGAGCAGTCTAGGAGTACATGATACAGTTTAGTATGAGCAAGGCAGGGGCTGTAGATTGTCCATTCTTTAGGGGACACACACACACACACACACACAGAGAACAGGAACCTGTCCAGTGAGAGTTAGGGACAGAATTTATTACTAGCTGCTGTGAGCCTCAAAGTAGTCAGTGCAGGACTCCTCTAAAAGTTTCAAACTTCAAACAGCTGCAGGAGCTGGGGGATGATTCAGTGGAGAATGAGAGGAGAGGGGAAAGATGGACTTCTTGGTTGGGTTTAACCTTATGGGACACAGTTTTGGGCAACAGTGGCTACTCATAAGTTGACTTAGTGAAAAATCTAGCTTTCTAATTAAAAGGAACCTAGAGAAAAGCTTTTCAGTTTCATGTAATTAAAATTATCTTACTTTTATAATTGCCCATATGTCTTACTTTGATAAAAATTCGTTCCTACTCATAGCTGTGAAAGGTATATTATCAACTTCTTGTCTAATTTTTTTTAATAGTATGACCTTGGCTATTCAGGTCACCTGTCCATTTTGAATTTATTATGGAATATAGTATATAAAATTGGTCTAAACCAGGGGTAGGTAACCTGCAGCCTCAAGGCCACATGTGGCCTTCTAGGTCCTCAAGTGCAGCCCTTTGACTTAATTTCTGTCAGACTGTTTTCCAATTTTTGTTAAATCAGGAGTTCTTTTGTAGGTACTTTATGTTTTGTCATTTATTGAACAAATTATTTACATTTCTTCTTTGTCTAGTGTTCCCTTGATCTGTTTTTCTATTTTTTAACCAGCACCAGATGCTTTTTAAGGTTGCTGCTTTACAATTAAAGTCTGTAAGTGTTATACACTCTTCGTTTCTACCTCTCTTTGTTATTTTCCTTGATATTCTATGTCTTATTATTTTATCTATCTCTGTAAAGTATTGGTGATTTGATTGGTATAAGGCTAAAATCTGTAAATCTTTGATATTTTTATTATATTGGCACAGCCCATTCATGAGCACAGAATATTCCTTTAACTATTTAAGTTGTTCTGTTATTGCCTCCTAGATTTTATTATTATCATATAGAAATGCTGTTGATTTTTGTGGGTTTATATTGTAGCTGGCAACTTTACTTGATGCCATGGATATGGGATCTGAATATTAAAGATCATGCCATTAAAAATTTAGAAGGAAAGTAGAACATATATCTTTCACAGCTAGTGTAGGAGGTAAATTCTTAACCAAAGAAGGATAGAGATGATTACAAAAGAGAGATTATTTCTATTATATGAAATTAATTTTTTTTCATGAACAAATTAATGCAACTAAGAGATTAATGAGGGAAACAATCAACTGGGAAAAATCTTTGTCTCAAATATCTTTGATAAAGGTTTGCTATGAAAGATATGTAGATAATTCACAGAAATACACAAGACAAAAAATCATTTCCTAATGGATACATGGGGTCAAAGGATATAAACAAACAGTTCACCAAAAAAAGTTAAATTATTAACAGTCCTATGAAAGAATGTTCCAAATCACTAATAATAAAAGAAGGGATTTGGACTAGACCTGCAATTTCATTGCTATAGAGAACTCTCCTAGGTAAGAAAACTCCCTTCTCATCTTGGAGAATGGTCTAGAATACTGAATGGTTGTGTGACTTGCCAAGAGTCGTAGCCAATATGAGTCAGAGGTAGAATGTAAACCTAGGCCTTCCTACCACGAACCACTGCCATCTCTAAGAGAGCTGCAAATCAAAACAGCCCTGAAGTTTCACCTCACACCCAGCAAATTGGCAAGGATGCCAACAGAAAGGAATAGCCAATGTCTGGAAAGGTTGTAAAAGAACAAGTATACTAATGCAGTGTCAGTGGAGTTGTGAATTGGTCCAGCCATTCTGGAAAGCAATTTGGAGTTATTTGAAGAGTACCTAACATGTTAATAGCCTCTGATCCAGAGATTTCTTTGCTAGGCATATACCCCTAAAGAGATCAATGATGAAAAGGCCTTATATACACCTAAATGGGGCAGCTAGATGGCGTAGTAGATAGAAGACTCATATTCCTGAGTTCAAATCTTACCTTTAACACTTTCTAGCTGTGTGATTCTGGGCAAGTCACTTAACCATATTTGCCTCAGTTTCCCTATCTGAAAAATGAGCTGGAGAAGGAAATGGCAAACCACTCCATTATCTCTGCCAAGAAAACCCCAAACGAGGTCACAGAAAGTCAGACATGACTGAAACCGATTGAACAACAACAACAAATGTTTAGAGGAGCATTTTTGTGTGTAACAGCTGGAAACAGAAGTAGGATATAAACCTTGGCCTTCCTACCATGCATCACTGCCGTCCACTGGGTGCCCATCAACTGGAGAGTGACTAAACAAATCTCAGTTCTGCCATGTACTTCCTGTGTGACCTATTGAGGGGGCTAGACTAGATGCCCTAAGGTCCCAGCTCCAGATACATGATCCTGTGAAACTATGGTACATGCTTGTAATGGAATAGTATTGTGCTGCTAAGACCTGACGAATTCAGAGAAGCGCAGAAAGACTTCTGTGAACTGATGATGCTGAGTGAAGCAAACATAACTAGGAAGATAGTAGACACAGAGACTGAAAACACACGAATGGAAGGAACCACATGAAACAATAAAAACTAAATGTTGTAAATTATAATAACCAAGCTCTGCTCTTTTCAGAAGTGGGGGGATGTGGGTGTGGAAAACTACATATGATGTCAGATTTTTTTACGTGTAATGATTGGTTATGCTGAACTTTTCTTCCTTTTTAGTCCTTATAAAGAATGGCTCTCTGAGAGTGTGTGAAGGAAGGAGCGTAGTGGGAAATGGAGATGATGTCAATACAATTAATGGGGGGAAAGGAACCTAGATGTTCCTAAAGCCTAAATATTGCCCACTCCCTCCTGACTTACTTACTATATATTAGCTAAAGGTGGAGATGAAAGTTTCCCCATTCCATCCCAAACTGTAGGGTTCCTAGGGAGGCTCACCACTCACCAGCGCTTAGAGACTTTGGAGTAAGCAATCTGAGCTGAAACATTCCCCAGGTGGTCATGGTTTCCAGCTAGCACATACCAGGGAATGTTTTGAAGGGGAGGGGGCTGTGAAAACTTCCTCAAAGGTTTCCTGTGGGGAGAAAAGGAGCATGGAAACTGATTAAGCTGGAGGAACAGGGGGTGGGCTTCATGTCATTATGCAAAGCACTCTAAAGTGAGATGTGCAACTAAATTGGAGGCAGACTCCTACATTGTTGGGCTTTAGTCACTGCATCTAGTGTCCAGACACCCATGCTTCTGCTCAGCTGACTCCCTCTGAGGTAGCCAACTGAGTGATAAATATCTATTCAGCTGAGAGTCTCCTCTAACAGTATGGCAGCATCTCTTCTTTTTCTAATCTGCTTCCAACCAGGACACAAGAATTAGATGGATTCTTCACCACCTCACCTTCCCTGCCCCCCCTCCCTCCCTCCCCCACCCCAACTGCCCTGGGTTGTGATAGGCTCTCTTACTTCAAACAGAGCTAGAAGACTACTTAACAATGATATTGTAGAAGGAATTCCTGAGTGGCTTGGAATGGATGACTTTGTAAGTCTCTTCCAACCTTTGAGATTCTCTGTAGCCCTCTAGTCAAGAAGGTAATCATTGGACTTTATAGTAAAAAAGCCTGAGTGATCATAAATTTCAACCCCTTGAGTTGACAGATGAAGAAACAGGCTCAGAAGGGGCAAGTCAGGTCACAGAGGATAATTTGCAGTTGAAGTTCAAACCCAAGTCCCTTGACTCAGCTCTTTTCATTTTATGCTGCTGTTTCCCTAGTGGACTTTGGGGGCAGGTAAAGGAATTCAAGCAGAGGGCTTAGAAGAAGGGAAAGCCTTGAATAAGTAGCCTTCAGAGTAAGGGACTATGAGAAATCACCATAGAGGAGGGAGCACCTGGAATCTTTTATCCTTGGCATCCTGAACTCCAGTGAAGTAGAAGTTGTCTCCAAGGGATAGGATGAAGTTGGCTCCCAGGGTTTCCACAGTCCTTCCAATTTCCTTTGCATTTGCCATTTCTCGGGCTGTGTAGAATGGGGCATTAGGGACCCCACCCCAGTCTCCCACAGCCACAAAGCGCAAGGTGGGAACTGAATTGTCCGTCAGTGAGAGAGTTAGGGCCCCTTGCAATAAGAGGGCTAATAGTACCGTTGTCTCCATCTGCAGGGATGAGAGGTGTAGAGCTCAGAAGGAAAGAAGGGACATTAAAAGGGGGCTGGTTCTTTTATCCTCCTGCACAGCTTAATTGTGTCAGCCTTTTCTGGAATCTATTTTCAACCCCTGATCCATCTGTGTATGTCTGTGTAATCCGTGCTGGGGCAGAGAACTCACCGTGAGAGGCTCTGAAAAGGGGGCTAGCTGGGATGTAAGCAAGGGCAAAGGTGAGAGGAAGAAAAGATGACGAAGAAAGGAGTGGCAGATGAGCTGGTATGGAAGGGAGGTAACTGGGGACTAGAGATGACAGCCTCCTGTTTCATTGTGTGAGCTCTCCAGGTATGTTGTACATGCATGCACATGATCACGTACACATTTTCTTCCTGCTTCTGGAAAAGCTAGTGGGTAGAGAGAACCCAGTGCTGACCTAGTTCCCGAGTTGCTAGAATTAAAGATAGTGGGGAGGGGTTAGCTTGGGAAATAGGTTGAAGTCTGTCCAGGGTGACCAATTAGCTCTAGGAGTTTCTTTCTCTCATCTTCCCCTTCTCCAGCATGGGGGGAAAGCAGATGAAAATAATAGGGGCCCTATGTTTGACCCACAGCCCTGTCTTAGCCTAGCTCTGAACACCGAAAGTGTTCTTGACTTTAAAAAGAGAGCTTGACTTTACCTAGTTGTTCCTGCCCTGGTATAGCAGCAGGAAACAAGAAAGTCAGAGTACTGGCAATCGAAAAGGTTTAGAGAAGATAGTCACTCACTCTGGGCAGTCCTTCAATCAGTCTGGCCCCTTGGGCCTAGGGTAGGCAAGCTGCAGATGGCTTCAGGAACTCTAGCTCCCTATGGTTTTATTCTGTGGGAAGGAGGAAGCTGGAGCCAGGGAGGGACTTAGCTCAGGGCTAGTGAGTTAATCATAATGAGGCTGATGAAGTCTCTCCATTGAGTGACCCAGGATCACCTCCCTTTGGATCATGTGAGTCTCCATGGGCCTGGGCAGTCAGTCATACTTCCCCATAGAGACAGATCAGAAGTCCAGGCTGGGGGTGGAGAAGACCTGCCAGTTCCCAAGTCAGCATGTCAGCAATTTGCTCTCATCTCAACCTGCTGCCTGATCCCTCAGTCTCCCAGTTTTATGGGTCTGAGAGCCCTTTTATCAACAAAAGAAGATGGAGCAAGGATATCACTGGAAAAGAAGGGCCACTCTGGGAAAGTTACAGATCTGGCCCCTGGACATGTAATTCTAATCCTCTGACCCTGCCCTTCCCCTCACCCATGTTATCTTCTGTAGAAGGAAAATTGTACCCATAGAAAGCCCAAGCGTGCTTGTTACCACCTGTCCAAACCCATGTCACAATATGACTAACCAGCTCATGACATTCCAGTTTCCAATTTTGCCTCTCTCTCCATATTTTGGGCCTTCTGTGGACTTCTGTTTCACATTGGCTGCTGGAGCAGCCCAAAGAGTGAAGGAAGAAGTGTAATGAGTTTAGGAGACACCAAGATAATGGCCATAGCATGGCTTCTTCCTCTGGGGAAGTCAGAATTATGGGCAGTGTATCCTACATAAAGAGGCTAAGGATTGCGTCCTCAAAGAGTCTAGTCCATCCTTGAAGAGACTGTGGAACAAGGCCCAGGGTGTGGGAATTTTTGGAACTGAAATGAAGTAACTAGAATTTCTCCTTCTTGGTCAGGTCCAGTGTAACTTCCTAGGGGCAGTCTAGCTCATTAGCCTGATTCATAGGGTCCTGCCAGAGAGCTAGTGTTCCAGGTTGCTAATAATAATAATAGCTAACATTTTAATAGGCAGTATGCTAAGCTCTTTACAATTATTTCATTTGATCCTCACAACCCTGGGAGGTAGGTTGCTATTATTATTTCCATTTTATAGATAAGGAAATTGATGCAGACAGGTTAAGTGACTTCCCCAGAGTCACACAGCTAGTGTTTGAGGTAAGATTTGAGCTTGGGTCTTCCTGAGTCCCATCACTTCATCTGCTTCATCACCTACCCTAGACAACTAGAACTAAAGATGTTATGGAAGGGTTGCCAAGTTACCTAATTAACTATAGGAGTTTATTTCTCCCACCTTCCCCTTCTCCATGGGGAGCAAAGGAAGATCACACACACACACACACACACACAAAGTCAACCAATATAAGGGACTATTTATGTCACTTCCAGTACAGTTTGGGGACTTTTCTGAGTTTAAAAAATGCAGCTCTTATCCCATTTTGGTTCCTGGCGGTCCTGTTTCCTCCCTTTCCCCTGCTTCCAAGTCTTTCCCCTCAATACAAAGACCTCACCCAGTTCTCCCAGTCCAGGATTTGTGAGAAGTCATACCTATGGCCTCTTCCCTGTTGATCTTGGGAAAGAGATAGGTGGTGCCTGGATTAGGCTTGGCTTTCCAGGGCACAAGTCTGTGAGACTCATCTATAAAAGTCTTGAGCCAAGAATGCTGGAAGTGGGGCCCACCTGTGTCCTTGAAGAGATCTGTTGCCCAAAGCCTACAACCTGTTGAAAGTCAGCTTCAATCTGGGACATAACAGTGAACCCGAAAGTAGCTTCGCAGAGCAGAGTTTTACTTTCTGAATCGGAGGAAAGGTTAAAAAACAAGGTACTCACCGTGATCTGTGGGAGGAGGGGTGGGGCTAAAGGAAGTTAGTGGCCCAGGCATGAAGGAGAGTAGGGCTGGGTCTGGCGGAAGTGAAGGGGCCTTTTTATGCAAAAGAAAAAAGAAAAAAAAAAGCCCACTGCCCTTCCCTCCTTCATGAAGAAAACGTTGATTCGGAGAACCGCTCAGCCTGGAAAAGTGTGACCAAGAAGGTCCTTCCAGACCTTGAAGGACCTGCCCTAGGTTAACTCTAAACTATTTCTTGTATTTCCCCTAGGGGGAGGACTAGGATCCTGAAGGAGGAACAAAAAGCTGCCTGGGTGGGTCCCTGATCACTGCTTTGGTCCCCTTACATTCGTTCATGGTAAATCCTATGTGCCCAGGTTTTTAGTTGTAGTTGTAATAAGACAGGAAGTGCAGGCAAGATGAGGATCTTTTTGGAATAATCTCCACATTTTAACCCTGTTCACTGTCTGCTCTAACAGGAGTTTAATGTCTCGACTTTAAAGAATCTTAGCAAGAAATCAAGTTCAAATCCCTCCTTTTAAGTAGGAACAGACGCCCAGCCAAATAACACAATGAGTGATATCCCAGACAGAGCTGGGATTAGAACCCGGGTCTTTGGACTCTTTTACCTAGTCCAGTGTACTCTCCTCTAAGCCTTTTCTTGGCCCTCAGTTGTTCTGGCTTTTGCTGTTTCTACCCCAGCCCTATCCTAACTAGAATAATATAGGTTAAGAGGCTGAAGGAACTATCCTGTCCAGGATCCAGATGGATGTCTGCAGGGAAGGGATTAAGGCAAAACTCCAGGCAGAGAGATTTTCTGGGGAGGGAGGGAGGGTTGACTGAGTGCTTTCTGGGCAAACTGAAGCAAGAACACAAGGTTTCTAGTCGGGATGGACTGTTAGAGACAGCTGGGCTGTAGGGGTCTTTTTATCTGGTGTCTCTCCTGGGAATAGTCTTAGTGTGATTACTCCTCTCCTCGCCAGATTTATTATTGTCATTTAATAGCTCAGTCATGTCCGACTCTCCGTGATCCCGTGAACCATAGCATGCTGATACTGTCCATGGGCTTTTCTTGGCAAAGATACTGAGGTGGTTTGCCGTTTCCTTCTCCAGTGTAAGGCGAATGGAGGTTAAGTGACTTACCCAGGGTCACACAGGCTAGCATCTGAAGCCCCATATGAACTCAGGTCTTCTTGACTCCTTGGGCAGCTAGGTGTCACAGTGGATAGAGCGCTGGGCTTGGAATCAGGAAGACTCATCTTCTTGTCAAGAAGAGTCGGACAGGACTGAACTACAACTCCCTGCCTCCAGGCCCAGTGTTGTATCCACTGTGCCACCTGGCTGCTTCTACCAGATCGGGCATGTCTGTTACCACCAGATCAGGGAAAGTAATAGACGTTTTGCCTTTTGGGTTGATCAGACCACATATGGAGAATTAGGTTCGTTATAAAAGGGACATTAGTAAATGAAAACACATCCATTTTGCCAAGGAAGGGGACTTAGAACTGCCAAAGGGTGTTTAGAGTAGGAAGGCATCTTTTCTAAGACAGGTCCAGTGGTAGTTGGCCAGCTTCTCCTTGAAGACCACCAGATCCAACCAATCCCACCTCACCTAGCTGCATTCTGCCCTTCCACTGCCTTGCTTCCTAGGAAAATCAACCATTTGGATCAGCCGAAAAAACACCTAGGACCCTAGGCTCTTGGGAGAGTTAATCTACTGAGGTGTCTTGCCAGATGCGCTGAGTTCACCTCTTGCTTCAGGCTCAGTTATCAAATGCACACCACCATTGCTCTGGAGGGGTGTGTCCTTTGACTTTTCAAAAGATCAATTCACCCTCCCCTTCCCTTCTAAACCACCATTCCCATAGGTTGCTTCTATCCCGATTAGAAAGCTCCGTGAGGGCAGGAACTACATCATTTTTGTATTTGTTTTTTTCAGGTTTTAGTGCTCAGTCTGTCCAGTCAGAAGGGCTGAATTCTATTGTATTCTGGATGGAAGATGGATTAGAGAAGGGACAGTTATGAAGCTGGAAGGCTAATGTAAGCAAGAGCTGGTATGGGCCTAAATTAGGACACAGGCTGGCTGAGTGAGTAAAAAACTGAGAAGTGTTTTAGAAGTAGAATCCACAGGACAAGCTGATTAATTTGGTATGAGGAATACAGGAAAGTGTCTAGGCTAGAATGACTCCAAACCTGGGAACTTGGGTGAGTGGAAGGGTGGTGCCTTCAACAGAAAATAGAGAGTTTGGAGACTTCGAAATTTGAGTTTGGAGGGAAGAAGATCAGCATTGCTTTAGACATGTTGAGTTTGAAGTGCTATATGGGTGGAGATTTTCAGGAGGTGGTTGATAATCATAGGACTAGAGCTCAGGAGGGAGATGAGGTTTGGACATATAGATTTGGGAGGCATTTATCAATCAATCAGTAAGAATTTGTTTTACCTACTATGCTGCAGGCTCTGTGTTAAGCCCTGGGACTACAAAAAGAGGCAAAAGACAGTCCCTGCTCTCAAGGAGCTTACAATCTAATGGGAGAGACAGCATACAAACAGATACATATAAAGCAAGATGTGTATAGGAAAAATAAGAGGTAACAGAGAAAGCACTAGAATTAAGAAGGTTGGAAAAGGTTTTTTTGTAGAAAGTAGGATTTTAGTTGGAACTTGAAGGAAGCCAAGGAGGTTAGTAGTCAGAGCAGAGGAGGGGAAGCATTCCAAGCATGGGGTACAGAGTCGAAAGGAATGTCTTGTTTGTGGAATGACCAGGAGACCAGTATTGCTGGATCAGAGTACATGTCCAGGAGTAAGGTGTAAGAAGGCAGGGAAGGTAGATGGGGCTAGGTTATGAAGGGCTTTGAATGCCAAATAGAGCATTTTGCATTTGCTCCTACAGATTATAGGGAGCCACTCTAGTTTGTTGAATACAGGGATGACATGATCAGACCCTCAATTTTGGAAAATCATGTTAGTGGCTGAATGGAGGATGGCCTGGATTAGGAAGAGACTTGAGGCAGGCAGACCCAACAGCAGACTGATGCAGTAGTCGAGGCTGAAGTAATGAGATCCTGCATTGGAATGGTGGCGGTGTCAGAATAGAGAAGGGTGCGTATCTGAGAGATGGTGGAAAAGTGAAATCAAAATAGGCCATGGCAACAGAGGAATCCAGGATAACTCCTAGGTTGTGAGCCTGAGGGACTGGGAGGAGAGTATTGCCCCCCACAGTAATAGGGAAAGTAGGAGAGGGGAGGATTTAGGGGGAAAGATGAGTTCCATTTTGCATATATTGAGTTTAACATGTCTACTAGATATCCAGTGCAAGATATCTGAAGGGCAGTTGGAAATTGGAGAAGACTTGAGATAAGCAGGTGGATTTGAGAGTCGTCAACATAGAGATGGTAATTAAGTCCATGGGAGCCTTTGAGATCACCAAGATCATGAAGAAGCAAGAGAAGAGAACCCAGTTTAGAACCCTGAAAGACACCTGTGGTTAGAGGGCTTGATCTGGAAGAGGGTCTAGCAAAGGAGACAAAGAAAGAGTGGTCAGATTGGTAAGAGGAGAAGCAGGGGAGAAGGGTATCCTGAAAACCTAGAGAGAAGAGTATCATCAGGGACAAGGCTTCAAGAGAATGAGGACTGAGAAAAGGCCATTGGATTTGGCGACTAAGAGACCATTAGCAATTTTGCAGAGAATAATTCTGATGAAGGGATCAGGTCAGAAGGGGTTAGAGGAGAGAAAGTGGAGGCACCTATATTGTAGATGTCTTTTTGAGGAGTTTAGCTACAAAGGGCAGAAAAGCTATAGGATAATAATGGGAATGGAAGAGTCAAGTGAGGCTTTTTCAGGATGGGAGGGGGAGATGTGGGGCATGTTTGTAGGCAGTAGGAAATGAGCCTTTAAACAGAATGAAAAGAAGTGCTAGAGTAAGGATGATGGGTGGGGTGGGGGATGGCAATCTGCTGGAGGAGATGGGATGGAATGGGATCACTTGAACAAGTAGAGGGGTTAGCTTTGGTAAGGAATAAGGCCAAGGCATCATATGACACACAGGTGAAGGAAGAGAAAGTGGCAGGCTTGGGAATGATAGGAGATGAGGAAGAAGGGAGTGGAGGGAGCTAATGGTAAATGGCCTCATTTTTTTCCTGTAAAATGAAGCAAAGCTTTTAGCTGAGGGAGTAGGAGGAGGAAGGGGAGGGGAGAGCCATGGCAGATTTGAAGAGGGACGAAAAGATTTAGAAGAGCCACTGTAGGAGCAGCTAGGTGGTGCAGTGGATAGAGTACCAGCCCTGAAGTCAGGAGGACTTGAGTTCAAATCCAGCCTCAGACCAAACACTTGACACTTACTAGCTCTGTGACCCTGGGTAAGTCACTTAACCCCAATTGCCTAACAAAAAAAAAGCCACTGTGGAAATTGGGGTAATTCTTGTTTATCCTTCATTCTCATCATTATAGGGTGATGTCTTCACTTGCAAGTGAATTGGATTTAAGTGAGGCAGAGTTGACCAAATTTGTTAGCTTCGCTCTCTCTTCCAGAGTCATTGAAGTCCAGTGGCAAGACAAAAGTCAGGACAACTGGCAGTGGCCTGGGGTTCAGTGGATGACCTTGGTGTCTTGGATGGCTGACCAAGCTCTATGGGTTCCACAGTACCTGCTTCAGCCGCCTTTATGGCCGTTGGAACAAATTGTTCTCATCCATCCATTCTACCAGAGGAAGTCTTCACATGCTTGGAGTAGAAATCCCTCTGACTCACCTATGGGTTTGAGGACTGTTGGTTACCCTCAAAGTGGTTTAGTCCATCTGCAGAGACCATTTTACTGGGGTGTGGCCACTGAGCATGCTACAGCTTCTTGGAGCAACAGGTGAGAGGTGGTTAAAGGTAGATGAGCAGCCCAGAACAGGGCTTGGAAAGCCCTCACACCAGAAGTACTGGTCCTCCCTGAACACCCCCTAGGTCTCAGATTCTCCACTTGTCTGTGGTCAAAGGTTGTGA